GTCCCAGCTGTGATTCAACGTACCTCTTATAATCAGACTAAATGTCCTTACTTACAGAGAAAATAGGTTTCACAATTATTTTCCTACATTCCTTAAGAAACTTTCTTTGAAAATGTTTGTCAAAAATTACTTTTTATCATGAAAATCAAAGTCTATTCAAATGGGTTTTATTTCTAATAATGGCTGAAAAACATGTATAACTGCAGAGAATAAGAAATAAAGTAATGTTCCATGTTTCACTGAGATACAACACTAGATATTACTTTATTTGTTACATTTATATGTTACAGCAGCAAAGTGGATAGAGAAAAAACAGTAAAAAAACCAATAAGTAAGAGTAGGAAATAATATACATATAATATAACACATGTACACAAGAGAAAAAACAGTATAAAAAGCAGTAAGAGTAGGGAAAATAATATAATATAATATAACACTATGTACAAGAGAAAAACAGTATAAAAACAGTATAAAAACAGTAAAAATCCCAAAGTAGGGGGATAAAGTATGGGGATATTTCACACTTATGTGCATGCACACTACCTGTAAATGAATCATCTCGTTTTGTAAACTTAGAGTAAGAGGACATCTGCATCTGAACTTGTGTTTGCATTTTGGGTGGTGACAGTAACTGTAACTTAACCAGTAGTTTGGCCACTAGTTTTTTTGGACTTTGTTAAAACACTATGACAGTGTTTTGGTATGTGTGTGGCCCTATAAGCAGATGAGTCCAATTACGCACAATATAAAACAGAGAGAGATTTAGAGGTACAAATTGCCCCAGCAGTTATTGTGCTAGTACAGCTTGTTTCACCTAATCTATGCATAGATCCAAAACAGTTCAGGTGCATCAAAATAGCTCTAATATAAAGCTAATGTATATGGGCAGCCAGCAATTTGCATTATCCACTGTTCATTGTGCCTAAATCAATGTTATTAATGTATGTTTACAGGGCGTCTGCAGTCTATTATGGGATTCAACTTAAATAAAGACATACCAAAAGAATATGTTGCATATTATTTGGAGCACAAAAATACAAACTATATCCAATAGCTGGTTTATATTAAATAGTACTTGCTGACTTTGCTCCTACTAATCACACAACTATGTCACTCTTGCCTTGTAATTTTAAGTTCACTTGTATATATGTATAGTTTCTATTTTTATTTCTAGCCTAATTATTTATTTACTTTACTTTTTATATTTATCTGAACTTATCTGTGCTGCAACACCTGGATTTCTCCTCGGGGATCTACACTGAAAAGGTTTTCAGGTACCTCAACAGAGAAGCTGAACTGAGCTTAGAACTACAACTCCCACAATTCCGCCTTCTTCAAACCCAATGCGCATGCGTCCTCCGTCTGGGCCATTATTTTGTCCTCCTCAAGCTTCAAATGAAGAACAGGCTAAGCGTTCCTTGAAATGAATTAAATATTAATACACGGAAGGAGCATTTTTTCCCTACTTGTTCATCCCCGCTGACATAAATGGAGTCTGTCGGTCAGTAGCTTGTTGTCTCGCCGGGCTCTTCAGTCCTCCGTTGGACTTGGAGGCCGAAAACAGTACGCGGAGTGACAGCCCCGTTAAAGCCAGCAGATTGGGTGTTTATCTAGTTGGCTAGCGACCTAGCTAGCTTCCTAGACAGCTAAGAGGGGGCTAAAAACCCGAAAGGACCATCTGATAACCTCGGAAAGAGAGAGCTGTGGCTGCCTCTTTCCCGTCCAACCTGCAGAGGGGATGGCACACCTTCAAAACATGCAAAACCAGGTACAGAAATCCTCTTTTCACTAACTGTCACCTCCCTTCTTCTTGTCCACGACAAGGCGAACCCCCATGACTGCCGGGCTCTCCGTGAATAGGTGGGTGGTGGGGGGGTCTGAGCCCCCAGTGCAAGTGATAACACTTACTATATACACTAATGTATATGAATTCATTTGTTTTCCATCTCCTTGCCATTGTCAGCACCAGGGGAAACGTTGCCGGAGGAATCAACAAGCTGATACTAACGTGATTAGAAAGTGAAAAATAAATAGTTTTAAAAGGAGTCACATTCTGTACATGCTAAGATATTTTAAATGACTTCTTTATGTGCCTCCTACTCAGTCAAATCATCACTTATTTCCTGCTGTTGTGGAGAGAAAACCACTGAACTTTCAAGTGTCATGCCTCTTGAATTACATCCTGGCACAAAGTTCAATCTAGAGTCTAGGTAATTATATGGGCTGTGACTGAATTGATAGGTATTGACACAGATAAGAAAGGTTAATTATCCATCATCTTTTTTATGTTTGAGCAGTGCATGAGAACAGACAGATGAAACTCATACTGAAACGTCTAATTAACCTTTATAAAACAGCATTCAAATGGGAAACAAGTCTCGTGGCGCACAAGTTCTGGTCAAGTGACACTCACACAGATAAGCCTCCGAGCACAGTCTTCACGACATACACTCAGTTCAATGCTTTCTTTGCTGTCACCGGACCAGAATACCCGGTTGGACCCGGAGGAGTACTTCACCAAGCAGGAGCGGATTGGGAAGGGTTCCTTCGGAGAGGTCTACAAAGGAATCAACAACCGCACGAAGGAGGTGGTGGCGATTAAAATCATAGATCTGGAGGAGGCAGAGGATGAGATCGAAGACATTCAACAGGAGATCACGGTGCTGAGCCAATGTGATAGCCCTTTTGTTACCAAGTATTACGGATCATACCTGAAGGTGAGGTGATAACACAAAGAAAGACACACACAGATTATTTCCTTAGAGACAGACGCTCAGTTGGCATACAGGCACAGGCAAAGCAGTATCTTGAAATCCTGAATTTCAAAACGTCTTTCATCAACTATTTCTGCCTCTCAGGGGACCAAACTGTGGATTATCATGGAGTATTTAGGTGGAGGATCTGCTCTGGATCTGGTAAGAAGATTTATATTTTTATACAGCTTACAAAGTTTTATATAAATCTTGCAAAGTGGCCCCTTTTTATACCTGAGAAGCAAAACTTGTACTGTTCTTGGTTCCTTCTCCCTAACCCTAACACTTTTCTGATTAATTTGTCGTGCCTTTATCATCTCCCTTCCCCTTCCTAGCTCCGTCCAGGGCCTCTTGAAGAGACTTACATTGCTACTATACTGAGGGAAATACTGAAGGGGCTGGAGTACCTGCACTCTGAAAGGAAGATCCACAGAGATATCAAAGGTAAGAAGCACTCTCTTCTTTTTCATTCAGCATCTTATAGATATCAGTTAATATTATTTGTCAGTGTTGTCCTGCTACAAAGCCAGATATCATACTCGTAACTCAGAGATAATTTGCAGCAGCATGATGTTCTGAGTGGAGAGACTATACATTAACTTTGAAATGATTAGATTCAAGCTTCCTATCAGAAAGAAAACAAGACACTGAATGTTGAGCAGTGATGGGGAAGCTGCTGAGTAACAGCATGTATATCCAGTTTTAACCAGATGCTGGACTGAATAAGTCCACACACTGAAATATGCTACTGAGCTGCATACATTTATTAACACCATCTGTGAGCCCACAACATACTGTAAGTGTTATATATCTGTGTGTGGAGCATGAGAGAGACACCAGAATAATGATATCCAGATGACAAGACAGCAAAGATGGGAAATAATGAAGAAGATTGGGTTGATAAACTACCTAAATTCTGTCCATGTAGTTTGTTTCCATTTGTCTGAAGCTGTTTGTGCCACAATGAAACTGGGGAAGAGACTGCAAAGTGTCCTTTGTCCCCTTTTCCAACCATTTTTAATGCAAAATATCCCAATTAATTGTTGTTCTGGAATTTCAAAAATAACATTTGATTGTCCTAAATAATAAAAAGACTGCATTACACAATATCTCAAGATGAGACGTTGATGTTAATACCTTATTTTTAGCATTACATCTATTGCTTGCTCTTTTATTGTGACTCTCTCTCTCTCCTAGCTGCCAATGTGCTCTTGTCGGAGCAGGGCGATGTGAAACTGGCAGATTTTGGGGTGGCGGGACAGCTGACAGATACCCAGATTAAGAGGAACACATTTGTTGGCACACCTTTCTGGATGGCTCCAGAGGTCATCAAACAGTCGGCCTACGACTTCAAGGTGAGGCCAGAGTCTGTGGAGTGGGCAAAAGACACCCTGTGCTGCTGCTTTGAATGAACGCTGTCTTTAGGTTTGTTTGCTTGTTGTTGTTTTTTTCACTTTTAGGTGAAAAGATGTTCACTTTGAGAACATCAAGCCCACAAAGAGATAATGTTTTGTTACTGGTGGAAGCACTGATAAGTAGACAGTACTGTAAGTTTTCAGCATGGGGAGAATTATTTGATCCACATCACTTTAGTTACAGATTTTAATTCCTTATAGTTTCCACTGTCTGTTTGTGAAGTTAACACACCTTACTTACACATTTCACTCTCCCCCTCAGGCTGATATTTGGTCCCTGGGAATCACTGCCATTGAGCTGGCTAAAGGGGAACCTCCCAACTCGGACCTACACCCCATGAGGGTCCTTTTCCTCATCCCGAAAAACACTCCACCCACACTTGAGGGACCTTACAGCAAGCCCTTCAAAGAGTTTGTGGAGGCTTGTCTAAATAAAGACCCTCGTTTTGTAAGTAATACACCTGCGTCCATCTGCAAGCATTGTTTCAGAACTACAATGGGATCAGACATGCCTGTTTTGGGCTAAATAACATCAGACAATTGGAAACTAATTCCAGTTTGGCGTTGCTGTTT